GCCAGACTGTGGAGGTCCCTGGGACAGCAGGTAGCTATTGAACAACAGTGACTATCGATTGAGCCCTTCTGAGGGCTGGGCTTGGCCACCACTGCACCTGCCCAACTAGTGAGACAGATTCAGTGCCGGCTATCCCATGGGTGGGGTGTAATAATTATAGTTAACTATTTATGAATTCAAATGCCAGCAACCAATGTTTATTGAGCACTTACTTAGTCCCAGGTATTGGGTGACTTAAGGTATGTAGTTGCATAATTTTGCAGATATTATGTCAAATTTCTTCTTTGCTAAAAAGTGGGGGCAACCATTATGTGAAGCCCTATTTTTGTTTTGGTTGGTTTTGGGGGTTGAACCCAGGGGTGCTCTATTACTGAGCTATATCCCCAGTTCTTTTTATATTTTGAGACAGGTCTCACTAAATTGCTGAGGCTGACCTGGAACTTGCAATTGTCCCTGTCTCAACCTCCTCTTGCTGGGATTAGCTGGGATTATAGGCATGTGCCACCATGCTTAGCTATGTGAAGCTTTAAAAAAAAAATTATTTAAAAATAATTTGTTACTAAACTATATTTGGTGCAAGGTTAGGATGCATGGAATCCTCCTGAACAACGTGTTAATGTGGTGGTGACAATTATGCAGTAGATTACGGTCATACAATTTTATGTAATCCCAACAACCTCATGAGGTCACTGCCCTCACCCCCAATTTACACAAGAGGAAATGGAGGCTTAGGGAGGTGAAGCAACTTGGCTCAGGCTGCCCCAGTAGATGCTGAGCTGGCTCAGGCCTGCCTTGTCACTTTGGGTCCTAGTTCAGGAGTTTAGGCCTCCTGCTGTGACTGGGGTTAATGGAGGGAGAAGGGCTTTATATGGGGAAGCCCCAGAACAGGGTTGCTGCTCCTCTGTTCCCATGAGTGAAGGTGGGTGAGGCCATCAAGAAATCAGGAGGCCCATGCCTATATAATCTCATTGGCTTGGGAGGCTGAGGCAGGAGGATCATAAGTTCAAAGTCAACCTCAGGAATGTAGTGAGGCTCTAAGCAACTTAGGGAGACCCTGTCTCAAAATAAAAAGAAAATTAAAAAGGGCTGGGGATGTGGCTCAGTGGTTGGGTTCAATCCCTGATACCAAAAAAAAAAAAAAAAAAAAAAGTCAGGAAGCCTACCTCCACCTAGACTGGGCTAGAATGCCCAGTGTGGATGACAGGGCTCCAGGCACCCCTTACCCTCTGCCCTGTGTGGTTCTCGACCTGGTGGGCTGGTCCTCCCAGCCGTGTGCCAGCAGTCACACGTAGCACCTTGTCACTTACAAGAACTAACAGAACATTTCCCACACTGCAACACATTCTTAGACGCTTTATGTGGGAAAGGGATGTCTTTAAGGATTAAAAAAAAAAAAACCCACAACCTTCACTGATAGTTTCTGGAGTAGCAGGGTGGGCCACCTTCTGGTATATGAGGATTTTATTCTGGATGGGCTTCACAGTGCTGACTGGGTATGAATAAAGCTGAGGAATTTGGCTGCACAGAGCTGGGAATCGAGGATCTGGGCATAAATGTGCCAAACTCAGAATCTAGTGGGGATTAGAACTTCCCATTATTTCTAAAATTCCCTACAATAGTACTCCTGTTTTATAGATGGGAAAAAATCAAATCTCCGAGAATGGCTGACTTGCCTGGCAATGGTGTCCCATCTTCCACCTAAGGAACACACACAAATGTAGGTGTCACACCATGATCTGGGGGAACCTGCTTCTGTGCTCACCCAGGGCAGCCCAGAGATCAGGAGGCCCATGGTGTGATGGAGAGCACATGCTGTGCTGACCCTTCAGATCTGCCTCCCCCCATCCCCCTCACCCCCACCCTCTGGGACCCAGAAGCAGAACCAAAAGGGAAAAGGGAGGAGCTGGACACAGTGCGACTGGATGGTGGGGGGTGTTATTGGTGCGGGTGCCAAAGTCCAAAGGAAAGAAAAGGGAACGAGGAACAATCGATGGACTCCGCACAAAGATCACCTGAGTTTCTGCCTGGGCAGAGAGGTCATCTGTTCCAACTCCCTGGTGTCAACTCCCTGTCACGGGTGCTTCAAATTCTCCTCTACCCCTTGCCAATGCCAGCTTGGCAGTGTCAGGAAGTGGGAGCCCAGTGGCCTGGCATTCCCAGTACCCAGCTCTGGCTGGACAGGGCTCCTGGTGACCTCACTTCCACCAAACCAGTTGGTCCTCTCAGGCTCCACCTTCTACCTTAGTGCTGAACTGTGCCCTTTCTCTGTCAATGAGGATCCTCCTGGCTCCAGAGACACCCCTGCCCCGCTGCAGGTAGAGAGCTGGTGGACCTAAAGAGGCCCTGCTCCCGCATTTGGCACCCTAGCACCACCCCCTTGCTCTCCTGGGATAAAAGCTCAGCACCACAGCTCCAGTTTTGCCAGTGGCCCCTCCTGCAGCTGATCCAAACTGGGATCCTTTGGGGAAAGCCTAAACATAGGCAAAAGCGGCCAGCCTGCCAGCAGTCCCAGAACCGGAGTTAGCAGTGACAATTGGGGGAGACCACTGCTCACGGTGAGCTCCCAGCACCAGGGCTGGGCCTGGCAGAGCGCCTGCTCCCTCCCCCAACCATCTTTCCCCTCCCCCTCCAAGGTCCTCCCTCCCGCTCCCTGAAGAGCTAGCGCTTACTCCTCACATTCCTAAGAATCATAAATCCTCCTGGGTGGCAGAGCCACCCCTCTCAAGACGCCTTGGCGCCTCCTCCCTATCCCCACCCCCACACATTGCCCCTAAGCGGTTGGGGCTTTCTCTTTCTTAGAAGTCACTCTGGACTTTGGGAAGACTAAGTCCAGCCGGCGACGTTATAATAAACACAGCAGGGGGCTGAATGGCAGCGCGCAGGTGTGGGAGAGCCTCCGGGGCCCTTCCTACACCGGGGGCTCAGCACTGAAAGGGGATTGTTATTCATCCAGCTTTTTGAGTGGGACGTACTCGCCATCACCCTACCTTCAGTTACCACCCACAGTGGCCCTAGAGAAAGTTGGCACCTCTGGGGCAGAGGGGCCTTCCTCCCGTCCCAGCTGCGGGCTGGGGTGGCCCAGGGAGGACCCCAGGAAGGAGCAGGTTTGGGTTCCGAGGGACAGGAGCCTTGGAAAAAGGGTCTGAGCTCCGTTGCGCTGCCCTTCTAAATGGGCAAGGGGCAAAGAAAGGTGCAGGCGGCAAAAGCGCTCAGTCTTCCAGGCCAGTCTGGGCAGGGGGATGGAGTCGCCAGAGCAGCCCCACGCCTGCCCAGGACCTGAGAGGGCGCCGGGTCGGCGGGCGGAAGCAGTTTCCCTCTCGCCGCTAGAGCTTTAGGAGGGCTGGACGTCCGGGGTGCGTAGATCTCTTCCCCCGCCTGGACTTACCCGCTCCGGCTGGCTCTTCTCGGCCTCACGCGATTCATTTTCGGCGCCAGTTCCCTGCCCCTCGGTGGCGGCCGGCGATTCGGCCTGTCCTGGCCCTTTCTGGGCGCGCAGCAGCTCCTCCCCGACCTGGACGCCAAGCTTTTTCAGCTGCTCGTCAGCCTCGGGGTCCACCACCAGCAGGCGCACCGCGTTGGGCGCGGCGCGGATCCGGCTCACCACCTGCTGGTGGGTTTCCTTCTCGACATTCTCGCCGTTCACCTCCACCAGCCGGTCCCCAGCCAACAGCCCCGCTTTCTCAGCGGGCGAGCCGGGCTCCACCAGCCGGATAAACTGGCCCACCTTGCCTTTCTCCCCGTGCAGGTGGAAGCCGTAGCCGTTCGGACCCTTCTCCAGGCAGCAGAGCCGGGGCAGGGGCGCCCCGGCTGCCGCGTCCGCGCTCATCTCGCTCGGCGACTGCTCAGCAGCGAGAAGTGGGGTCCCGTCGGGGGCGGGAGACGCGACCGCCCAGCCTTTCTCTGCGCCCTAAGAACTGGGAGGCGAGAGGGAGAGCAGCAGGGAATCCCTGCTCAGCCGGACGGGCGGAGAGCGCAGGTGTCCCAGGGACTGAGACCGCGAACTACGAGGAACCGACGGAGGAAGACGGACCAATCCCCGCCCGCGCGGCGTCTGAGCGTTCCAGAACCCGTCCAGCCCCTTGTCCTGGGGGCGGGGTCGCGCCGAGGGTGTGGGTTCCAGTAGACCAATCAGGAGCCACGATCAGGGGCGCTCGGGCCGGGTGAACGACGCCGGCCAATGGGAAGGGGCATGGGCGGGGTCTGTGCTCGGTTCGGCGCCCCGCGGCGGGCGAAGAAAGAGGGCTCAGGAAGTGGAAGTGTTTGTTACCAAGTGCTGGAGCGGGGCGGGCGGCGTGGGCGGGGCCCCTGTCCCCAGAGAGTTCCAGGTACCGAGAGGACGAAGACTGCTGCTGGTTTTCCCCTTTGGCATGGGTTGAGGAGAGCTAGCTCCCGGTTTAAGCGCCCTCGTGTTGTAATGGCCTTTAGCCAAGTCTGTCTGTCGTAGCGCTGGGTTGGAGGGGAGCGACAGTTGCCGGGGAAACCGCCCTCCCCCCGCCCCGCACTGGGACAGCGAGGACCGGCCTTCGTAAGAACTGGACACAACAGAGTTGTTTAAATAACAGTGTCTCAAGACTTACGTCTAGGGCTGAGGCTCCAATACCCGCAAAAGCGACAAAACTCAGTAAAGAGTTGAGGCTTCACGCCGCCTGAGTAAAGACAAACCACCCAGGGCAATGTCGCACACTGGGTCAGCTCTTGGCCAGGGAGATGGGGTGGAGAGAGGCAGAATAGTCCAGGTAATCCGTCACAGGGTACACTCCCCAGGGAAAGGAGCCCTGGCCTTTTTTCAACAGAGAAAGAAAAATGACTAGGACTGTAAAATAAGCCTTCCAGCTCCCTCTTGCCAGATGAGAGGCTGGTCACAGAGGCCAGGGTGAATTTACTCTGTGAGAACAATGAAGGGTGATTTTGGTAAGGACATTTTCCCCAAAAAGAGATAACAATCTCTTCAACGTGGTCCCTCCTCCCATGGGCACCTCAAACCAACAGTGGACAAGGTGTACTTTCCAAAATACTGCAGTTTAATTATGAAAAACACAAATGCCAGAGGCCCAGAGCTGTCTACATGATTGACTCTCCTGCTGCAACCTGCCAAGGGCCAGAGAAGAGACCTGGGAGGTGAGGCTCCTCCCTGATTCGCCTGGGAGAGGCCACTGAGAGCTTCCTTATCAATTCAAGTTGGAGCCACTGAGTGCTCAGAGAGCAAGATTTCTGCCTTAAAAGCAAATGTAGCAGCCTCAGAAATGTCCAGCAAGTAGTAGTACCTCTCCACCCCTCCCTGCCCTGCCTGCAGAGCTAAAGGAAAGGTGCTTACTCTAGGTCCTGACCTGCATATTTCCTGGACACAAGAACTCCTTGCTGCCCCTCTCCCCACCCCAGGTTTACCCACATGACCTTGTTTTGCACACACTGCATTTGCGCAAAGAAATGGGACCTTCCACTCGCTACCCTGACTCATTAGGAGGGGAGATAAAGCAGTTTTGACCCTGGTGACTGACTATGAAGTTCAAAAAAAGGGCACAGTGGTCAGGAAGGAGGGGGAGCTTGGGTTCAGGGAGCTAGACCTAAGGTTTCCTCAATTCTGCCTTCCCCCTGCTCCAGGAGCCAGGGGCTTCTCTTTATCTGGTTCTTAACCCAATTGAGCTAAGTAGCTTTGAAAAAATAGCTGCAGGGCTGAACACCTGCCAAAAGATTGAGATGGGAAGAAACTTTTCCTAGCTCTGACCTCAGGTGTCTAGGGGCAGAGATGGAAACCAATGAGTCAGGGATTCAGGGGGAGTGGCTCCTCTGGGATCTGAGGTCCAGAGAACAGGAACCAATGTTTCCAAGTACTGCAATGTGCTTGTACGCTGGAGGAAAAACAGCACACCTCCAGGAGTGGGTTTAGGAAAACCAGAGTTAGCCACAGAAAAACCCTAGTCTCTTCTATTCCTGTCTGCAGTTGGGAGGGCCCCTCCTAATCTCCACAACTCTTATCTTCCCTGAGTCTTCCTTCCAGCTCCCAGCACTAGGGTCCATCTTATTGGCTAAGACTGTTTCCTGGGGAGCTGGAGAAAATGAAGGCTGGGGTGAGGGTGGTGACGGGGACACTAACTACTTACCCTCACACCCCAGAAGTGCACTGGTATCCCCTGGTGCTGAGCTGGAGCGGCACTACCATGTCATTGCTAGGAGGATGGCCTAGCCTCTTAGGTCCTAATCCTAAATCCGAAAAGGCAAAAGGGCCACCAGGTCCCTCTCTCGGTTTTCTGGAAACCCTGGTATCTTTTTTTTTTCTTTTTTAGTATGAAATTTTGTATCATTAAGATAAAATATAAGCGGTTTACCCTCCCCCAGGACGCAGGGAAGCTATAGGAGTGCTGTGGCCTTATGGGAAGGGGCAGTGCACTGGGCCCCCAGCTCCCTCCCCATTGACTCAGCCGCCCAGAATACACCAGTCAAGGGGAGATGGCTGCAGCTCCAAGGACTTCTGGGGCCTCCTCTCAGCTTGTGGGATTCACACAAAGGAGCAGCAGCTGGAACGCTTCTTCTGGGACTCCACGTAGTCCCGGATCTGGAAGCTGGGCCCATCAGTCTGCTGCCCAGCACGGTACTTCAGCTCCCTAGAAGAGGAAGAGGAAGAGGAAGAGGCGAGGGGCTGGCTGAGCTGAAGGTGCAAAGTTGAGCTTTTCCCCACCCCGTTCTCCTGGCCCGGAACAAATGGAGCTCAGAATGGAAGTGGGCCCAGGGCCTGGGCCAGGGGCTAGGCACTGCTGGGTTCCCAGATGCCACCCTGCCCTGCCCGGTTCCCTTCCCTGCTCAGCTCTCACTTGGCAATGGCCAGAAAGGCTAACTCCACGTTCATGCCTGTCTTGGCGCTGGTCTCCAAGAAGGGAACTCCGTACTCCTGCCAGGGAGAAAGTGTCCTCAGGGCAGCCTCTGGCTGCCCCCACTGTTCCCCTGCCCCTCTGGCAGTCACTTACCCTGGCCAGTGTCTCTCCGTCCTCCGAGCGTATCACTCTTTCACTGCTCACATCCGCCTGTCAAGCCCATGTGGGTCACTCTGAGGAAGGAAGCCTTGACCCCAGCTGGCCCTTATTTTACCCCAGGAGCAGGCACTGCCCGCCCTCTGCTGGTGACTAGAGGGACTGTGGGCAGGTGTGATTGGCCTGGGGCCAGGGTTTCTGCCTTGTGAAAGAGTACACCCTTCTCCCAGCCCTGGGATCCCAGCCCTGGGATCTCACCCCTGGATCGGGGAGGAGGGTAGTTCTCCTTGGCAAAGAGTGGGGTGGTGACGCAATCTCAGAGGGCTGACAGCAGTTGGGGACAACGCTTTGTAGCCTTAGGTCTTGACCCCTGAACTGTTCTCTGTGATCTAATGGGGGCTGGCAGCTGGGCCACCCTGAGTCTCTTGGGCAGCAGCTGGCTTTCCTGGAGGGGGCTATTTCCAAAGCTTGCAGGGGGAAGGTAGGTTAGGCAGAAGTGGCCAGACATGTCTGACCTCTGAACAGGATACTGGAAAGTCCTTTGCTGGAGGGACTTTCCCTTTAGGTGGCTATAAGGTACAGTGGGGCTGAAGCTGAGGCAGGGGGAGAGGGGGCGCAGGGTGGGCTGACCCTGCCACCTAGCCACTTACCTTGTTGCCTAGCAGCATGATCACCACATCCCTCTGGGCATACTCATGAATCTCTGTGAGCCAGGCCTGTGGGAAAGGGTGAGCTGAGCCAGGCCAAGGCTGAGGCCCAGGCCATTGTCCTCCAAGAGTGCCCTGTTAAGGATCCTAAGACCACATATGAGCTCAGTGATCAAAGAACTATGATTGAGGGGCTGGGGATGTAGCTCAGTGGTACAGCACTTGTTTAACGTGAGGTTCTGGGTTTGATTCCCAGCATGCACATGCACACACGCATGCGCACATACACAGAGTACTGATTGATTAGTGATGTCTGTCACGAGCATGGGGTTGGAGGTGGTAACATGACTGCCATAGATTTTCCAGCATTTTTTTTAATCTTTACATCTAATTACCCGTTTGTTTGTTAGCACACTGCCTTTGAGGTCGGGGAGCACATGAAACCTACACACTATTGTGCACAGAGCCAATATTTATTGAGCTACTGTCTCTTTCATCTAATATATGTTGTGAGGACATAGCCACTCTGTCTGCTTGAGTTGCACCTTGGGCTGAATGTCTGCGTAGACATTTCTGGCTGGGCTTTTCCCTGGGTCTCTGTAGATAATTGTCCAGGGTGGAGCTGGAACTGTTCTGAACACTTTGACATGAGACACACTCATGAATCATGGTCAGGACTATGCAGTGGCATGGGGCATAATACCCTGCTTGGTCTCTGTGCCCACTTGGCAATCAAATGCCCAGTCACAGTGAGGTATTTCTTGGAAGGCTGTGGGATTCCAAGACCTGCCCTGCTCTCACAGAGCAGGAAGCAGTTCTGGCCTGCATAGGCCCTGCCCTGGCTCCATAGGGGTGGGAGGGTGGGGCACCCTGGGAAGGGAGGACCTACCCTGATGTTGTCGAAGGAAGATTTGTTGGTGATGTCATACAGCAGGAGCAAAGCTGGAGGGGAACAGAGATGACAGAGGAGACTCAGGGCAGTAGCATGGGAGCTACAGAGGGGCTGGGGAAGGAGTGGAGGGCACTGGACTTACCCTGAGCATCTCGGTAGTAAGCATGTGTGACACTGCGGAACCGCTCCTGCCCTGCAGTGTCCCAGATCTAGGAAGGGGTGGAGAGGAGGTCAGGAGGAGGCAGGGCACTGGGACTGCTGGCTGGAAGGGTGCATTCTGTGGCATGAGAGCTGGCTAGGAAGAGGGGACTGTGTCTCCTTCTGTAGGTTCTCATAGGCTTCTGAGAACTGGACAGTGGGAGGTATTAGCTTCTCAAACCCATTGAGGGCTGGCTGTCTCTTGCCCAGCCCAGGGGTTGGGGTGTCCAACCTCCTGAGTAGCTGAAGCCCAGAAAGCTGGGGAGGAGATGGAAGAGGGAGCTAAGCTCAGCTGAAGACATTTTGAGCAGCCTGTGATAGGAGAGAGGGTGCCTGGGAACTGCTTTTTCTGCAGACATCAAACAAACAAAAGCCATTTCCTCTCATGGGCCCCACAGGAAATTACCCCAGGCTGAGGGCAAGGCTTCAGGCCTCCTGCGGTTCAGGGTGAAGAGCAAGGGCCAGCTCTTCCCTTCTCCCTTCCTCACCCAGCCTCTCTCTCTCTCTCTCACCTGCAGCTTCACCCGCACACCATCCACGGTCACCACCTTGTTCTGAAAGAGAAAAGTGCAGAGGGTGGAGAGGGCAGGTGAGGCCCGGTCCTGGGCTCTGCCAACATTCTGTCATGGTCCCTCTCCAGGCCTACAGGGCCTCAAAGAAGTCTTCAGCCAGATCATCCATCAGAGCAGCAGGGACCCTGTCCCCAGACACCCCCACAGTGGAAATCTCTCTTCTCAGAGCACAGCCGGGACAAGGGAGCCTGAGAATCTGCCTGGCGCTCTCCAGGCCTCAGCAGGTAGCACAGGGTGGGGCACACCAGGCTCAGCCCCAGGACTGTTAGGGAACCCTGAGAGATGAGGTGTCCGCTGGCATCTGGGGCCCTCCGAGGCTAGCCCTGCAGGGACTTCTTCCCTTTAACTCCTGATACTTCTCTCAATGCAACTTCAGCACTGGGAGGAGGCACTGAGCCCCCACACGGCCCCACTTGCCAAGGCTAGACCCTTCCTCTCCTGAACTCTCTGGGTGTGTGGTGCTCCTCAACTCTGATGCAGATTTGTACAGAAGGAAGAGGGAGGGACCCTGGTGAGCTGCTGCCTCCCCACATAACCAGCCCAGCTCCTAAGACTAGTGCAGGACAATGCTTCTTGAGTACTTGAGAAAGGGTGACAAACTTTAGACCTTACCAAAGGGGCTCAGCTCAGAGGGCAGTGAGCAAGGGGCCTGCAGGGCCAAGAGGCAGCTTACTTCATGGAGTGGGTCTGCCCTGGCCTGGGACAGCCCCCAGGAACGGAAGACAGGAAGACTAGTCTTGTTTTTCATGCCTCCTAGGTGGGAAGGCATCAACACCGCCCAGATGCCTCTAACCTGGCCACCTCAATGGCCCTGGGGCAGCATCCCAGTGCCCTCCAGGCAGGGAGCCAGAGGTCTCCTTGGGAGCCAGGGTGGGCAAGGAGAGGACAGCCCCCAGCTCACTGCTTGGAGGAGGAGCCTTCAGCCACCTCACCCTGAAGTCTATGCCGACCGTGGCTATGAAGGTCCCGGACAGGAAGGCCCCATCTTTGAATTGGATCAGGAAACAGGTTTTGCCGACACCTGAGTCTCCCAGAAGCATCACCTAGGAGACGGGGCAGAGGCTGTTAATGGGCATTCAGAGGGAGCTCCCGGATTCCAGGAAGAGACACCCTGAAAAGGAGAGGAGAGGAGGGGAGAGGGCCAGGGAAGGACGTGGGCTGCGTGGAGCAGCACCTGCTTTTGGAGGGTCTGCGCCACCTCTGTTGCCCTGCTTCTCCTTTCCATGCTTGTGGGGTGACCTTCTGGGCTCTTCATCTGGTGCACATGTGGGGGTGGGGCCACAGTGCCAAGAAGGAAAGTGTTAATATCTGGGACAGGGTTCCTACCAGGGGAGCCTTTCAGGACCAGCCTTTCAGAGCACCATCACTGGTTCAGCATATTCTAAAATTATAGTTGTTTGGGTTTCTTTGCGGGTCATAGCATTTATTTGGAAGCTTCTAATGAGGGTTTCTCTTTATAAAAAGGCTTGCATGAATCAAGGAAGGCTGAAATTTACCCTGAGACGGGGAGACAGTTGGTCTGAAGTTCTTTCAGCCAAAACCTCCCAAGTGGGACAAATGGCTGCAAATTGGCATCCCTGGGTCACTGCAAGTGAGGAGGGAGGGAGTGTGGGGGTGGGGCATGCCCACTCTCTTTGATTCTCATCAATGTCTGCTCATCTTCTCTAGGGGACACGTAGGAGTGATGGAAGGGAACTTCAGTGCTCAGTCATCCTCTGATCTTGGAGAATAGGAGTCTAGACTCAATGCTGAAATATTCCCAGCAGCATGGTTTGACTGCTTCGTGATGGGTTGAGCAGGGACTAGGTCTGCATGATTTTTAAGGCTCTGAACTTGATAGTGGAGCCAAAAGCTTTCCTGCCGTAGGCTATAGAACTCTGGTAGAGAGACAGGGCTGAGCAAAAGGTGATAAGGCTAGTGTTCTGGCTTGTGAAAGGTCTGTGTGTGACTTCCAGAAGATTCTCCAACCTTTCTGTAGCATGATCTCCATGGTAGGTAGAAGAAGAAGGGATCATTTCTTTGAGGTCTTTCTGAGTCTGTCAATGGCTACGGCAATAATATAATATTACTGTGAACACCTAAGTCTCAGGGAAGAGTGGCCCAGAGGTGGGTACTGCCTGCCTGTGGTCCCCATTCCTTCTAATCTGGTCCAACGAACTCCTGCTAGCCTCCTCCCAGACTGTCCTGGACTCAGGCTTCTGGGACAAGCCTGGGAAGGCTGGGGCCCAACTCTTGCAGATGCCACTTATCCAGGGGACAGACTGGAGGGCATGGGGGACCCTACTCCTTGCTCCCCCAGCAGCCCCAGAGGGCAAAGGAGGAGGGTAGGGTCAGTGCCTGTGTACTTTACAGTTCACAGCTGCCTTGAGCTGATGATGCAGCATCTACCCAGCCAGGCGAGTCCACCAAACATAAACATCTGCTCCGCCTTGCCACCTCCCAGGCAAACAGCCCAGCTGTCTTATAGGGCAAAGAGGTCAGGAGGTCCACATCAGCCTGGGAGCTGGTCCTCAGCAGCTCCTCCTCCCTTGAGGGAGCAGGGGCCTGTTTCCTGCCACAGCCCACACAGGATGCCTATCTCAACGGCTCTGGGTGGGTGGCTGGCAGAGTGGCTTCCCTTGAAACCCTGGGGTGGAGGCTTAAGGTCCCCAGTGAGAGTGAGCCCTGCTGTTGGGGAGGAACCAAGACACAGAGGCAGGTCCCCTTGAAGAACTCACAGCATGATCCAGCACAGCCATCTCAACCTTGCAGAGGAAGAGAGCGAGCTTTGAGCCCGCTCACATCTATTTCAAAATTCTTGATACATGCTCACTCCAAGGGCACAGATGGAGGATAAGCAGACCCTACCTGCTTCCCAGGGCACTCCTGCAGAGGGAATGGACTGCAGAGAGCTGTCTTACAGCTGTCCCAGGCTGCGGGAGTTGTGTCTAATTGCTGAGCTTTTTCTCAGGTTCTAAAATTCCTCAGGTGGGCCTGCCTGGGTAGCAACAGCCTTTGGAATGAGGGGCTTGGCCCACAGCTGCCCTGAAGGAGCAAAGCAATGCTC